CGGGACTGCGGCCGAGGGACACGACTCAAGCGGGCAATCCGCGCAGAGGTGGACTCAGGCAGACTACGACCGAGGGACACAACTCAAGCAGGCAGGCCGCACAGAGGTGGACTCGGGCAGACTGCGGCCGAGGGGCGCAGCTCAGGTGAGCAGACCGCGCAGAGGTGGACTCGAGTAGACTACGACCGAGGGACATAGCTAAGGCGGGCAGGCCGCATAGAGGTGGACTTGGGCAGACCGCACAGAGGTGGACTCGGGTAGACTACGACCGAGGGACATGACTCAGGCGGGCCGGCCGCGTAGAGGTGGACTCAGGCAGACTACGGTCGAGGGGCGAGAAGCTGCTCGGAACAACAGTATGTTATGCAGCGATCTGTGAACGCGGGTGGCCAAGTACATCCTCGTGTGGAGTTGCTTGCTCTCGGGAGTCGAAATCGAGAAGATCGTGCCTTGACATTCGCTTCACGAGCCCTTTGGCTGCCATGTCAGGCCTCATTTATGGCGAGGTGACGTTTGACCTGCCTGATGCGACGTGCTTTGCGGGAAGGGCATCGATGGGCTTTGCCGACTCTCGGTTGTTGCCCCCGGGGTGGCTCTGGCCTGACCCTTTTGTGCTCCTCCTGCCTCTCGGCCATCTAGGCCTTCATCGCGATGTACTGGTTAGCCCGCTAGAGCATTTTCGGTATCGCGGTGGGGGGTCGCTCCACGAGGGACCAAAAAAATCTGGAAGGTCGCAGGCCTATCGTAAACGCCTGCATTAATAGAGAGGGATGAGCGTCTGGCAACCCCCGGATTTCTGTGGCAAAGCGATTCACAAAATGGGAGAGGGGCTCATCCTCCCTTTGGTTAAGTCCAACGAGCAGTGTAACGGACGACTTTAGCCGGGCGTAAGCTAGGAAATTAAGCTCAAAGTCTTTGGCGAGCTAATCAAAGGAAGTGATCGCCCCGGCCTTCAGGCCCTGCTATACCGTGCGTGGGGTGGCCCCCTCAGAGTCGTGGGAAACGCCTTGCACATCAAAGCGTCTGAGGTTCTATACAGTGCCATCTGGGCACGGAAGGCGGCTACATGGTCCACTGGGTCGGTGGCGCCGTCGTATGCGTCGAGAGAGGGGAGCCGAAAGTTTGGGTGGACTGACTGATCTTGTATCTCAAGCGCGAACGAAGACCCCCGGTGCGCGTCCTCCCCAAGTTCTTCCTTTGACTTACAAACCTCCCTCTGCACTTCGTTGAGTCACTGGTTAACGAAGTGCGGCTGGGCTCGCAGGGAGCCTGTTGAATATGAAGATAACACCTCGGGCTTTGAGCGGGCGCTCGGGTTTCCCATTGCTCGATCCTCGAGCGGGGCCGATCGGACCCGAGGCAACGCGGGGAGCTCCGGAGGTACCGTGTGAGCCCGAACGGGCGGCTCTTGTTGCCGCAGTGGTTGGATCGTAGGTGGGTGCACCGGATGAGAAATGAGCGGGATAATGGTCTGCACCATCCCAGTCAGAGCTCGGACTTGATGAGCGAGGTCCTGAAAGGCCTCGGGCGATACGGGCGACGGGTCGGTTGGGGCGCCTTTGGGCGGCGACAAGCCCGAGTCATTGAATAACCACCAATATCGCTTTGAGGTCATGGTGGGGTGCTCAGCTCGAGGTTCACCATGCGGGGGGCGTTCCCTCAGAGCCCCGATCAGGTGCGACCCCTCAACTGTGGGTTCGTCTGGGTCGATCCGTCGATCCCTCGACATTCGGGCCCTCCTTCTAGCACCAATTTGTTAGTGTCAACATCTTTACGCCGTGGCCTCGGGGCCAATACGGCTAGGTTCCCGTCCGAATGATTGGAGATCTTCCTGAACGACCCTTGAGACTGCTGAGGTAACCGACCGCGGTGGTCTGATCGCGACGGGGTCACTGTTTTCTCCGAGAGAGGACCCCTCGCCTGGGCCTTCGGTGGGAGGCACTCCGTCTTCATCCCTGCACACAAGTCAGGTCGGGAGAGCTCGGCCCGACCCCTCCGACGATCAAGTCAATCGATAGTCTCATGGGGTTTTTCTTATTTTTTTCTCCTTCCCTCTTTGTTATGAACGCGAGGGATTTTATAGGAAAGGTCACCGTTTCCTGATGTGCCTGCTTGTAGGGAGCAGGGTCGTACATTGGATAACGTCTAACATCGGCATTGGCGTTGCGTGAAGGACCGGGCTCCTGCAGGATGGTGATGTGCCTTGGTCGGCGTTTTGGTTTGCTTCGATCAGGCGCTGTCAAGTCAGACGAAGGCAGGCGACCCCCGTAACTCCTCGGTCTGCGTGATCTAGGAGACGTCACCCGGGAGCAGATGACGTTAGTTAGTATCCCATCATTATTATTACCCTCGTCATCCAACACCACCATGTCCAGAATATTTGGATTCCCTTCGCCTCCCATCCCTACACTCTTGGAGAGAAAGGGGAGGTTTCGGTAGCCATCGATGACGTACCGAGCTCTAGGATCTAAACAAGGAAGCGTGGTATCAAGGAAGCGTTTTGCGGTGTCCTCTAAGGAGCTCACCCGATAGTTGTATCCCCACACAGCAATCACTCCTCCGGGATTTCTTAGTACACGTTTAACCACTGAGTAAAATCTGGGAAGGTTGAACCAATGGACGGCCTGCGCCACCGTCATCAAATCCATCAGCACCAATTCGTCATCCGAAGTGGAGAGGGGCGTGTGGATGTAGTGGAATTTTGGGTCTCGGGTGCCATGTTTTAGCTGAGCCTCACTCACGTCTGTTGCCATCACCTGCTCGTAGTGATCCACCACCCGCAATACATGTATGCATATGTAATCAGGACGGGGAATCGATGGAGGATGATAGGGCACAATTTGATAGCATGCCTCCTGATACCCGACCGTAGCCACCACAGCGCCAACGAAAAGTTTCAAAGTCGGTGTGGCACACCACGTCAGTACAATGCTGTCCCGCGAAGAGTGGAACGATGTCCCTCGGGTATGACGGTGGTGTCGCTCATGTACAATGTCGTCTCGCGAATAGCGGAACAACATCGCTCGGGCATGACGGTGACACCACTTGGGTACTACGTCATCCCGCAAATAGTAGAATGGCGCCACTCAGGTGTGATGATGTCATCGCTCGGGTACGACATCGTCCTCGTAAAGAATGGAATGACACCACTCGAGTATGCCTCCGCCCCGCAAAGGCAGGAATAGCTCGGCTCAGGTGCGACGCTACGCGAGACAACTGGTGTCAACGTGAAAGGTATGAGTTTGTCGCTTAAGAGGGCGGCAACCATTAAGAGGCTGGTAACAACCAACCCCCGCGGGCAGGCATAAAAGCCCAATGCCTGGCCAACACGGGAGAGGATTTTTCACTCACGCATTCTACTCTCACTCATTCAACAGAAAGCTAACTGAAACATCGAAGGGGTCAGATCAGAAAATTTCCCTCCCGACCTCGGCCTATGTGTAGGAGCCCAATGATAGAAAGGGTGACCCTCATGAGACAAGGTTTCAACTTGACCCGACGCACGAACGGAGACGCGGAAGACCCTACGCATCGAGGACCCTAAGATAAAGGGCTGCACCGGACACGAGACAGCTGACGCTAGCTTCTGAGACCCGAGTGCTAGACAAGGTGACCCTGCTCATCTGGAATCGACCTCAACCGTGCTGACTCCCCGGCCACGGCGTAAAGAGACCCTATCAGAGGATATAGTAGGGAGGGAGGGGAAGGTGGGACTTCACACTGATAGTGGCTTGGTCGTTGCTAGTGCCAACGTCCCACACCAATTTGTGATGGGATGTGAAGGATGCAAGCTTGGAGAACCAGGGATACATGGGCCTCGCTTCCGCATAGATGGCTGCTTGCTTTACGAACAACCCCGCCATTTTTTCGAACACCTCTCTCTCACTCTCTCTTGCTCTCGTTCCGTCTAATTATATATTATCTCATATTATTATACTTTTTTAATATATTGATCCATATATTTTAAAAAATTATATTAATAACTTTATAATTATAAAATAAAAATATTTAATTTTATTTATCCTAATGTTATTGATTTAACCGACGAAAGATATAACACATGACAATACATGCATAATTATTGATTTTACTAATGAAAAAAATGATCATTTTATGTAGGTGAAAGAATAGAGCCATTGGCTTAGGTAACGAATAGAGTCAATACTGCTACTTATGAAGGATATTGAGATCGAGTTATATGTCCTCTTTGTGGTGGATGTTGAGGATGAGGAGGAGTGGGTAGAGGTGTTGTGGTCTCTCGTGAACAAAGAATGAGAGGTTTTGGGTGGGCCTGTCTGTAACATCCCATTAGTCCCACATCGGAAGTGGACAATGTGTATGATTAGCTTATATGGATCTAATGAGTATATTATATTAACTCTACTGAACTAGCATAGGTAGTCGCGATATGTGCAACTTACTCCACTACGACTTTCCTCATCCACAACAAGCGGTTGGAGTTAACATTAAGATAAGTGAGATTAAAATTTTTATTTTTATAATTATAATGATATAAATATAAAATTTTTAAATCTAAGGATTAAAATATAAAAATCTAATCGTAAGAGATAATTTGTAATTATTGTGTGATCGTGATGGTCAAGAGTAAAACAATGCTCGCGTTGACTCTTGCGAAATCACTGCAACAGCATGATGGCATCGCTTACCTCATCTACGTAGTGTCTATTAATTAACATGGGATGATTTAGACTACTGGACAAGTCTTCAACCCAATAGTGAATGTAAATTGATCAACGTAATATGGGTCCCCTAATTATGGATAAAAATATGTAATTTAATTCATATTTGAATACACATATCCATTGTAATTTGCATGTAAAACGTGCAAGCAAATTTAAAGCGCTTCGTAAAAGAAAGGGCGGAAATAGGAACCTGTCCCTTTCTTATCACTGTAACTCGAGCTCCCTGGTCAATAATTTCTGGACATCACATTAACTGCATGCAATCAAACTACAAAGTCCACTTTCCAAGAAGACTGTCCGTTCTCTTCTCCAAAAGGTGGTGAACATATAGTTTAAGCAAACGCAATTATAATGGCTTTTCTTTGTTGCAGACGAGTAATATACCAATACTTCGTCTAAGAAAGCACCAGGAAACCACCTCATTTAAAAGATCACATTGCGTTGTCTACAGAAAGAGACAGGTTAATATCAACTTGTGTGATGTCCGTCACCTAAGAGAATTTGACATCGATTTGATTTTTTGGATCTGTTAATATTAATCGGTTCTTGACTTTCTGCCACCGATTTTGAGTCTCTACCAACTGCTAAAGAGACGGGGCAAATAATGTCCTACTGGTGCACGGAGGCGAGCCAAGCCTACACACTGCTCGAGCCATTCATACGGTGCAATCACGAAAATATCGGTGCGGGCCACGCTTCTTTGATGATGGGTCCCAGAAAAATCAGAATGAGATATGGATGGTCTCGAGTACGTTTGGCATCCGTGGAAATGGAGGCAGAAACCATGATACGTACGTAACCGAGCTTCGTTTTCTGTCACAAGAAATTTCTCTGGATAACAAAGAAAGAAAGAACCCATGGTTCAAGAATGCTTTCTTACTTTCTTAAACAGAGAAAAAGATAGAGGTTGACTGCGGCTTGGCGATCACGGCATCGATATCCCAGGCCACGTCGGAGGTGGTCAGCGAGCGACTCTCTGATGCGGCTGGAGTTGGACCCGCCCACCCGCCTCCTTCGTTAACATCCCCTCTCTTTCATTGTTATTATGAGTCTCTCTGGATTGGGTTATGCCGTGTGCTGTTCCGTTGAATGGTCCGCAGCCAGTTGTTAGTAGCCAATTTAAAGCTAACATCCACCCAACTGCAATAGCTATCACGTAAGCGCTCACAACGTCTCCCGGCCTTGTATTGACCTTTTCTTTCAGAAAGCGAGCGAACGATAGAGTGATTACCCCACCATTTTAATGAGGAGAATATATATATATATATATATATATTTGTCCCGTTTGTTGTATGGACTTGTATATACGTCATTGACTTTAATTTCTCACAAGGGTGTTGCTTATGATCTGTAGCTCTCCACGTCCAAGAATATAGTTGGTGACTCTCTACGTGAGAGTACGTGGGTTGATCCAACAGTGATACATTAATGATTCCCAGTCATACTTGAGGCTTGTGAGTTAGCGTTAGGAAGTACTTCGTTAACACCACGTACCTTGGACGCTGGGAGAAGTACGCCCTTCGTGGAATAACACCAGGCCTGAGCAATTAATTATTCATGTTGGATCCGGTTCAAAATCTTAGAATTTTTCAAATCGAACCGTAAGTAGGAACAAGAGCCGTGCTGAGGTTGATGATACGGTGAGCACTACTAAATCTATTAGTCTTATGAATCCGGCATTGCACATTCCATATCAAAAGCTAACGAGACAAACAGTGGACAACATTCGACAGCCTTTATTGTGCAGCTAACCCATCCGAACCAAGTTTCTAACTTGCGTGTTTAGCTGAAGCTTTCATTGAGTGTTATTATGGTTTGTTGTACTTACTCGGTTGACCAATGAATAGTTCCGCGACCTGTCTTAGCTACCCCATGTCTAAGGGGAGTAGCATTCGACCTAAGCATTTCCTAACCTGACAGGCTGGTGGGGAGCTCCAAATATGGAAGGATGGCACCTGCTTGGTGAAGAGTCTATGCATCTCTAATAACCAATAAATGCATGCCTACTTTGAATCCAGTGTTCGTGTAAGCTATGTTTAAAAGGTAGAGTTGCGGCAGCGTATCCAATGGAGCATATATTTTTCAGTCGGATTTCTCGGGTCCAAACGTCTTGCAACAGTAATCCATCGAGTATGTCTTTCTATTTTCGGTAAGGGAAACAATCGCACGATCGCATTGATGACGCACGCCTTCCGCAACAGACGTGTTCAATCGAATCGAGATGTAGGGGCGCAGTGACATGAGAAGATTCTTCTTATCTACTACATATACGCATGCGTGTTAGCGGATCTTCATAACTTGCTTGTCCGACCCGATAATTCACCAATTGTGAGCCTTGGGGTGGTCGGTCAGCTTTGGCTCTTCCATCGACGCCCGACAAATTCGATACTTACCGCATGTTGCATCCAAATCCGATAACTGGCAGATTCGGGTTCGCATTTTTGGATCTTACAAACTGTAATCAACCGAAGCAATCCGCCTCCACCGGCAAAGGCAGGAGGGAAGCTGCTTTTGACTCGCCCGAGAATGTGATGTGAAGCCCATTGTGCATGAACTGGATCACAGCTCACCCAACATGAGGACGTGGGGCCCGTGTGTTTTCCAAGGTTAAATTTGTCGGCTAGCACGAGAAAGGAGACAATCTGGAGACGCGAAACATTATCATTTCACAGGCATAGCAGTCCCCTTATCTCCGAGTGCCTATATTTTAATTTGTATGGAAAATCCCATTCTATTCGATCATGCATGCGCAAAGAGATCATGTTCCACCCAGATAGACCAACAAATTAAAGATCTGTGATTGAAACGTCAAGATTGCATGACAACAACACGCCGAGCAGGAGCTCTATTTCCGACGCGCCAGCTCCGAGTCCCGTCGCCACACATGAATCGTCTCGCCAGTCTTTGCCAAGCCGTCTCGCTCCCAACGCTCTCCAACTCCATTTAATTCCACCATCTACATTTGCCCTGCCCCATTCATTAGAGAGTCTTCCGAGTTGGTTGATGGATTTATGAACTGTAAGTCGTCGATGCTTATGTGATAAATCCCCCGAGTAGAAACTTGAGAAGTCGCCTATATATACCCTTCTTTCTCTTGTTCTTCCCTTGCATCTCCAAGTCTTTCACCGACGTGAATCGGGAAGAACACAAGACCGAAAGAGAGGCAAGCCTTGATGGGATCCAAAACCCGGCTTCTGTCCCTCCTCACCCCAATCCAACTCCTGCAGGCTTTCTTCTGTTTTCTTTTAGCTCTGACACTCGCCCTCCATGCCATACTCTCTTCCACCTCCACCCTTCTACTTGACCACAACATCAGACTCGTCCTCTCGCAACATAGGATTGCACTCTTCTCCCTTCTATGGTGCACCTTGGTCGCTCTCCTCACCTACCTCTCCACGCGGCCTCGACCGGTCCTCCTCCTCGACTATGCTTGTTTCCGCCCCGACACGGATCGCAAATGCAGTTACGAGACGTGCGAGTACTTCGTCCGCCGCAGCCGCCGCTACAACGACGTCAGCGAGCAGTTCATGAGCGGGATCTACCACAAGTCTGGCCTCGGCGACGAGACCTATGTGCCGTCCTTCATCTTCCAGAACGACTACGAAGCCAAGCTGCAGTCGGCGCTCGAGGAAGCCGAGGAGGGCATGACGGCCGCCGTCGACGCCCTTCTCGCGAAAACCAACGTCCCGGCCTCCGCTATCGACCTCCTCATCGCGACTTGTGGCATGTTCGCTCCGTGCCCCTCACTGACGTCCCTTCTCGTTCACCATTACCGCCTCCCGGAGTCGACCACGACCTACAACCTCAGCGGCATGGGGTGCAGCTCCGGCGTGGGGGCCATCGACCTCGCGGCAAGAATACTAAAAAGTTCACGTAAAATTCGCTATGCGCTCGTCGTGATCACCGAGAGCATAAGCCTCAACTGGTACTTCGGAGATAACCGCTCCATGCTGGTGACCAACTGCATCTTCCGCGTCGGCACCGCCGCGGTCCTCATCACCAACGACCCAGCCAAGCGTGATGTCGCCAAGATGGAGTTCCTCCACTCCCTCCGCACGCACCACGGCGCGGACGACGCCTCCTACCGTGCCGCCTACCAAGAGGAGGACGATGCCGGCACCGTGGGCGTCGCGCTAAAGAAGGATCTTATCCGTGTGGCCGGCGAGGGTCTGCGCGCCCACATACGGCTCCTGGCGCCCAGGGCACTGCCGTGGTCCCAGCTGATACAATATGCCTATCACGTGGTGAGTGGGTGGGTGAGGAAAGGCGACCAGAAGCAGAAGGTGCCGGATTTCACGACGGCGTTCGAGCACATGTGCGTGCACACGGGAGGGAAGGCGGTGATCGAGTCGGTGGGCCGGCTGATGCAGCTCGACGACAGCGTGACGGAGCCGGCGCGGATGTGCCTGCACCGCTTCGGGAACACGTCGAGCAGCCTGGTGTTCTACGAGTTGGCCTACTTTGATGCCAAGGGACGTATAAAGAGCGGGGACAAAATATGGATGCTGGCATTCGGGACGGGGTTCAAAGTCTGCAGCCTGGTGTGGAGGGCGCTCGGGGACTCTGTGATGGAGCCAGACAACCCTTGGAAGGATTGCATCCACAGGTACCCCATGAAGACGTGGTAATAAATAATCAGTCAAATGCATCCATGGGTGCCTGTGCGTAAAGTTGAAACGTGAAAGCTGAGGGTGACGGTGAATAAATTGATAATCCACCCATCTTGATTTGATTTTATCCCATCTCTAACAAGCCGGAGATGGATACAATGTCATAATCAAATTATTATATATAGCAGTATTATCATCATCAAGATATGGATAGCTTTGTTAATTCTACTGGTGTATTGGTTTAGGATTGGGTTGCAGTTTTCTTCTCCCGTCATTTGTCGTGTGTTACCGTTTCAGTTTCAGTGAGGCTCAACAAATTGGCTTTCTCTTTGTGAAATATGGTTTGAATAGAATTAGTCAACTTTACTATCATTTTTTTTAGGAAGTTTTAATTGGTCAATAGGTGACTGTTACTCGCAGCAGTCAGTCTTTTCTGAATGGTTGTAGCATGCAGTCGCTTGCAGCGGGAGAAACATCAGTGACCGCACGCTAATCGACGACGAATACTTAATATTCTCGACATAAAACGTACGAGTAACGTCGGTTCACGCCAGCGGTCAGGTGGTCACCGCTAGAGGCTATGTGCATAAATTCTGCATTATGTTCTGTGGCGTTGCAGTGCTTCTCGATTCAGTGGGCAGGACACATCACAGATATGGATGTGTTATAGTGAGTTGACGGGACGGGTATGTGTCGTTCTTCACCCATTTATATGACATGGACCGTAGCTGATTGATGGACAGCTGTCATCCGATAATTACCATTACCATTGATGGATCCACTTAACGGCGCATAATGTCGCACTTCACTGTACAATGTATAAATCAAGATGCACGAATCTTCACGTGTCTGGATGGGGCACGCGGAAGGCGGTATAGAAGAAGACCGACGGTCTCTCAATGGTATAGCAATATTACTAATTAGGTTATATGGGAAGAGACATCAGTCATGATCTCACCGGTGCCCGACATCACCACTCCTTATCAGATTAATTTAAACGTATTATTCAGACAAACAAGTCCAGCATATTAATTTATCATATTCTTAGTAGGTGAAAAATAATGGAAAGGCGATAAGGTTGGCGTCTACAAACAGATTTCATCCCTCTCCATTTGTGTTTATACTTTTAAATTTTTAATCGTTCAATGTGTCAAGGATTCAGATTCAATTGAGATTCGATCTTTGATCTTATCACAAGTCTGATGCCGAGAAAGAGAGGAATTCAATGGATACTCTCACAGTATTATCCTAAGCTTTAAAAGGTAATTGTAAAGGTAAGGAAGACCTTACGAAAGATCAGCGTTCAATTATCTGTCGAACATTATGATTATTGTATGATATCAGTATGAATGTCGAGTTAGCATAGTTATAAAATAATGATATAATTAAAATATCATATCCATATAATATATGTTATCGGATTATCTATATATAAATTCCTCTCGTGAAGACTAAAAACTTAGATGTGACAAATAACTCCCATCGGATATGAGATAAGGAGACATTCAAGCTATTAATTATGATGTCCGTCAAATGAGACCAGCTGGCTTCGTTTTCTGGGTTGCTTCGTTCGAGAGTGAGACCAGAGAATACTATGTAAGTTTAGGAACTGACTACCATTAACAAATGAATTGATAGGCAACTCCAAATTTGGGGGACTGAGGGTAAGAGAATTGACATAGAACTGACTATGTGAAAATGTTGGCTGTACCGCACCAAGACATTGATATGTTGGAGCAGTTGAAAACATATATTCGACGACTAAAAATAATCCCCACTGACTGAATAAATAAATAATCTCACTCGCAGTTTTCATGTAGACAAGTGAATTATATATGTAAATATATATTGATTTATCAATATGATTATCCAATTAATCTCGAATATAAAATTCTCTTTAGATCAGATTGATGAGATGAAATCTATGTGCTTTATCAAGATAATTTTGTAGCCCATAATCATCACTAATCCAATTAAACTTTTACACACTCTTATAATCGAGTGATACATAACTTATTCGAATTAATTTTCGATTCAAACATGATAAATATGACCAAACCGATTACCTCCAAAGATAGCTGTCAATGGCTATTCGTATTTAAGTTTGACATTAGCCACTAACTTAATGCAAGCAATAGAGAGGATTTCTTTACTATTATTATTATTAGTTCTTTTCAATCTAAATCACTTTTTTCAAGAAAGGAAAGTTCTTGATATCTAAGATTTATTAATAAAAAATAAAATAAAGAAATTGATGATGGTGTCATCTAATTAATACGACAAGAACTAATAACAAGTTTGGATGAATCAACAAATATTCTGTTGAAGAAAATCTTCTATTTTATTATCATATGTATCATTGTGTTTTGCTCACATGTTTATTGTGAGGCTAAAATAAATATACTATATGAAGTTGATTGATGGGCAAAATATTTCACAAGGCAATAAGATAATAAGTGGACCACCTTTTCTAATATGTTAATCTAATTTTTTGTATAGCAACATAGAAAAAGGAATGTAAATTTGCACTAGTTTTATGACACGACGCGAATACCGCTACACCTCCAACTTCAAATGGCATGGATCCTTTAATTCCCCAAGTGTTGCTAGTATTCCGTGTGAGGGAGGCCTTCCAGCCTCTGATGCAGTGTGGTTGCAGGCAGGGGTGCATGATGGTTATGAGTGCCTTCGTAGGTCGTTAACACAAACCTCGAGTCTTCTCGCTCTCTCTCCACTGTCTTCTTCACGTTGCATCCTACGGTCGAGCAGCGGTAGTAGTTCCTGTCACGATTTCATCAGCTTGCTTTTCCAAGTAGTAGACAAGAAAGATTGCTGAACGAGGAACACAAGTAACTGTGGTGCAACGACATGCTTCGATGGAGATTTAGATAAGAGGTTTACCTCGGATATGGGCTGTTCTTCATCTTCTTCCTCCCGTACTTCCTCCACTTGTATCCATCATCCAATACCTCAAGCTCTGACTTGGTTCTGAATGCAACTCTGCTCCCGCTGCTACTCCCCCTCAAAGAGCCCTTCGACTTGTTTTCATTTCTGCACACAGTAAGAAGACGGCGGGCGTTCTCAATAAGGATACATCATGATTCTAAAGAACCAAAGCTCGAATCATATCAAGGAGCCAAAGAAATCTTACTTGTCATGATCCTGGAAGAACTCCGGACTCTGCTGCTGACTTGCAGGAGAGAGCACAGCATGTGCCGTCTGCGGATCTTCATCAAAAGCTAGGAAATCGTCGATAGCAGCAATTATGTTGTCAGGCTGATCATTCCCCCAAGAACTCTGCAAAAACGAAGAGGAGGAAGACATTGGCAAGGAACCCCAACTCATGCTGATTCGACTGGAGTAAGCTGACTGATTCCAACCGACGCCGGGGCAGTCTTTCTAACGAACATTGACAGCTATCATGTAGATTTCGGTGAGAAACCTTCAGCCACGACACGCTCTCCCCATACATACATTTTAAAGCTGTACTCACCCCACCTGGGGATGAAGAAGATGCCGGCCAAGGGGAAAGACTTGGCTGACTTGCGACCGTAGACTCTTCGGGGATCATTCTTACACATGTAAACGAAGAGGACATTAGTCAGCCAATGTGGTGAGGACTTGGGAGAACATTCACATGCAGCAGTCTCTCTAAGAATCATGTGAACACCTTGAAAAAGGAATAGCCACAGCCATCACATCGAGCATGGAGCAAGAATTCCACCACGGCGTTCTCTTTTTCCTATGCCTTCAGTTTTACAGCCAGACTGGGATTCTTTTGCATTTCGGACTTCTATTACTTATCCGCCATCACAACTTCCGCTTCGCTGGTAGAACTCCATACGGAAAACAGCCAAGTGATGTTGGACAGCCGAGTTGTCCGAAATTAAAGCGTGTAGACAGGGAAGCAGAGTCTTCACATATTCCACGTGAGAAGTCAAGAGTCCCACAACATGAACGAAAGACAAGCCAACCTTGGTCGAGTCACCGACATTATTGCTAATATAATTAAGTCTAATTAAGAAGATAAAAGCATCTAAAAAGGATGATACCGATTGCTTTTCGGCTGTGTTTGAACGTCTTATGATTTATATCTAAGCTTTGGTTTCTTCTATCGCAAAAGATAAGGTCACGTCTCGCATAGTAGACCTTCGTTTACTTCACAAATTGCTGCATTGAGCTGGCAAAAATGATTGAAAAGTTGCAAGTCCAAGTCGCAATAACTTGTACAAATCAAAGACGAATATATGGCTCTAAAGAAGCAGAAGAAAGCATCATTACTTGGTGTTGAAGACTTCTTTCCTCCTCGAACCATACACCTGTATTCTGAGACACCGGTTTTGTCTAGCATTAGACTTGTAGACCCACAAATAGTCCATGGAAGGTCAAGATATCTACGATATCTACGATAAGCATGTCGTCAGCTTCAACATGAATCCGCCCAAGAATATTGTTCTATGCAATTAAAGTGCTGGTTATACTTGTCTCAATTATGTTTCTTATTGAATTGCATGAAAACTTAATGGACTATATCTATGAGATTTGCACATAAGCACATGATTACAATCCTTTTTCACCTGACGTCCTGCTATGCAAATCGCAAGTTCAATTTATAACATTTATTATGAAAAAAATGATAATATCATTCGTTCAGATATATTTATACAGATTTAAAGAGTATGCTTAAGTCATGCACATACATCATGATAATTGATATTCAAATCATTGATTGACACTGAGGATTAAAATATATAAGGAATATAAAGTTATCATTCTATATTTGTTTGTATGATGATCCCTCCCATAAGATTTGATTTTTGGTCAAAAATATTAATTTTGGAATGATGTAATTGAAATATATTATTGTAAGTAAGAAGCATTGTGAGAGAGTTAGCTAGTTCGTTAGAAGTATGAATGTGAGAAACACATAGTTGACATATGACAAATTGATCTATAACAAAATAGAAGTTAATAACAATGTGTTTTATGTGAGAGTCGAACACTGAGTTGGAGCATAAGTAGGTGGTATTAACATTATCACAGTATATTGTTAGAGTAGTTTGGAGGTGATGCTAAGTTCGTGCAGCAGATTAGTGACTCACTTGAGTTTTGTAGTGATGGCGACGATAACTTAGTATTCAGTTTTAGTGGTAGATCTTGCGATTGTATTTTATTTCTTAGAACTCCAACTGATTAAATTTATTTCAAAGAAGATGATATAGACTAATGTAGATGTTCTATCATTAGTATTGCCTACCTAATCAACGTTGATGAAGGCATGGAGATGAAGAGATGAATAGTTATGAAGAAGTCCGTGATTGAAAGTCCATTTAAGATATTATAAAATATGTTTTAGTACAAAATAATACACAAGAGAGGGTCGATGCATGGATTGTGATAATTTAAAAATTATAAATAAAATTTATGGACGTATATGAGATAAATATTATAATGAACCAAATAATTATCGATATTGTGTGGGATTCATTATAGGGCTATCATTATATAATTTGCGTGACTTGGTGGAGAAAAGTGGGGTGATAATTTCTTTGATATTCTACATATTTATCTTTCATAATAGATCTCATATATATTTATTTTAAGATAGAAAAAAAACCAAAAAATATGAATATTACTTCCATCACCAAAAAATAGCTTAAGATTTCTAGGTTTCTGATGGAGAATTGATTTGTCAATTACTTAACAAATTATTTAATTTCTATAGAAGTATTGCTTATGATGATAATGTTATCCATATAAATTAGTAGACATATAGTATATTTCTTTTGTTGTCATAGGAATAAAGAGCTATTTGTTAGAACCATTTCGGCACTAAGGGGGGGGGGGGGGGGGAGGAGGGATAAATTAGTACTTTCGTAAAAATTATGTCGATTCAAAAATCTCGTTCGATAAATACCATATCAGAAAGACATTTAACTTGAAAGCATTCGTAAACGTAGTGAACATCCACTCCCGATCCCTTTTCACTCAAAGCCACTAGTTTCCACTACCGATCTTCTTTCAAAGAGTGAAGATCAACCACTCTTATAATTCTTTTTCATTTTGATAAGCTCAAGAGAGAACCTTTACACCTCTCTTTTGAGGAAGAGACTCCAAATCTTATGAGAGATTTACAACTTTTTTCACAAGGATTCTTTCCCCCTTTCTTAACTCCATTTCTTGTTGGTTCAAGCTGGAATAACTGAGGTATTTATATACTCCAAATGGCTTCAAAAATGAAGCCAAAAAGTATCTTATCCCAAGTTTTTGAGATACTTGCAATACCACCACCATTATTGGGCGGTACCATCGTTTGTCAGATTGACAACTAGTGGTACCACTGCTTGTCAGTCTGACATTGAGCAGTACTATCACCCAATCTGACATTGATACTGGGTGGTACCATCATTCAGTCTGGAAAACTGTGTTTGGGTGGTACCATCGCCCAATCTGACGGTATCGCTGCCTGACATAGTATGAGAGATTGTGTTTGGGTAGTACCACCGCCTGTCCCTTTTATGGATGATCAAATGACCCTTCTTCAACTTAGCCCAAAATAGTCCCAACTCAAGCCCAATTGGCCCTAATTGAGTTGGCATTGTTTCACCCCAAAACGACTCAATTATACCTAAACTAACTCGATCTAGACACACAATTATAAGCATATATCCTATGTTGTCCGATATGTCATTGGTTCATTCGGCGCTTCGTTTGATCCTTCAGCGCATTGTCATCTCCTTTGACGTATTGCTCAATCGACATATTGAGTCCTGTAACTTCTGATCTCCTTGGCGCAATATTCGATCCTTCGGCCCGATACTTGAACTCATGGCATAAAGTCCTTCCGACACGTCAACCATTCCTCTAGTTTGACATTTAATCTTCTGATATGTTTCACTCCGACCCAATGTTCGATTCTTCCTGCTTTAATCGAGTGACCTTTCCTTGATCAAGGTTAGTCATGCGTCATTCAAACACACATTAGATCTTAAATTCATCAATTAATTTCATCATCAAAATATGAGATTAATCACCATCGAATTTGGAGTTGACAAAATCGATTGATATAATAAAAAGCTAAGTCCGTTTACTAGTCTCTTGAAGCTTGACAATATCCATAAATAACTTTTCGTAGTTTATAAATATGATTCGGATATTAAAGTTTGATAAAGCTAAGCAGTTATTGCATAAAGACATCTTAATTAAATGTCTCAAGCAAGAAAGTATTGTTAATATCTAGTTGATATGCATGCAAACCTTAAGTGATAGTCAAACTTAAGATGTGTCAAATTATTATCGGTTTAATAACTATACTTAAGGTCTCTATGAAATTAATATTTGATTGTTAGTAAAATCCTTTAGCTACTAACGTGTTTTATATCAAACAATGAATCTATTTAGGTTTTACTTAATTTGAAAGATTCATTTACACCTGATAATATTTTATGTGAGGTGAGATAATACAAGGTTCCATGTGACATTATGAAGTGTGGTGTCATATTCCTTATACATGACTTTGCACTAGTGTGAAGATTTTTGGGCTTGAATATATATTTTTATTTAGTAGGGTTGGGTGGAGAGTTTATAATAGTATGGAGACCAAAGATTTAATATAATTTAAAGATATCATTTTTAGAGTATGTTATCATATGATATTTAGGGTCGGTGATATTATTGGGTTGTGTTGATTGTATGAAAAATTGAGTTATATTAATGATGTGAGAATCGATGAATAGTTAGTAACATATATCTAATCAAGCTTATACGCTTCGAGATCACTTGGACGAGGAAAGGACAAAGATATTAAAGAGTGAGTTAGTGGAGAGATGGATGAAAAAATTATAGAATAGGTGAGGTGCTTTGAACTGGAGTTATATGAGAGTACAAGTCTAAAAGATAATGATGTGGTCAGAGGTGCGCTTAAGCAGGTTTGAGGTGTGCTCATATGAATTTAATGATAGATAGTTGTTGTAGT